TTCAATATTTATATTCTGTATTCTAAGCAGATTTGGGAGAAATTTATTTTGAACGATACCCTGCAAATAAACTTTTTTAGCGTGTATAATCTAGTGTGAAATAATCTTCTAGTGTATAAGGATATAAAAAAATACTTTTCTACATGCTGTATATCTTTTTTAAGGCTTATATTCTATATTCTAAGTAGATGTGGGCAAAATTTATTTCGAATAATAAATAAATCTTTGAAATAATATTCTTTGGTATGCAAGGATATAAAAGAAACATTTTTCTATATGCTTCCATATGGCTCTCTCTTCAACGTTTATATTCTACATTCTAAGCAGATCTGGGCGAAATTTGTTTCGAATAATAATTTGCAAATAAATTTTTGACATAACCTCCACTAGTAAAAAGAAACATCCTGCAAAGAGATGCCAGTATACCTCACAATGTACTTCATAATGCAACAAAACGTAAGAAACTACTTGACAGTGTGAAAAAAATGTCTATTGCCTCTACAATTTGCCAAAGAATGTTTCGAAAATATCTCCTTGATATATAACATATATCTCCTTTCATCGTTTTCTATCAATTTTGTTTACAATGATATTGTTATATGATAATGTTCACGACGTTCTACCTTTGTTAAAGTGTTACGCATGGCAAATGAAGAATAAATATCATTCCTCGGTCATATCGAATTTCACTTAATTTCACTTTATGTCAAGGGTGTTAAAGTACGTTTAAGTAGTATGACACAAGGCTGGCGGGATTCTCGAACTACAGTAGAACTCCATTTATTCCGAACTTGTTACTCGTGACAATGACATATCCATGTGGAGTACATTTGCCCTCCTCTTGTCGCTTCTCCCGCATATTTCGGGATTATCGCGTTCGGATAAGCACTCGGACTCAATCGACAATTATCTAAGGGCATTGACGATTAAATTTAGAGCGACACGGTACACTCGGTACACCTGGTTTTCAGAACAAAAGACGTTATTTTCTGTGAGTCGAAGAAAATTCGGCGCAACTCGAGATGACAATGCGCTCCTCGTGCATCTGTTCACAATGGCAATCGAGACGAGATTCGTAATAAGGGTTTGTAAATGGTACAATTGAGAAGTGATTTACGAAATGTATAATAACCAGACTAGAGAATCGTGATTCCTCTCTGTCACTATCCCCGAAAATTACGAGGTGCAACGAGTGAAATTTTCGCAGATATTGTCTTTGCAATAATTTTCTCCAGCGAAATGTTCGAGTATATCAGTTTCAAATTTATTAATTCAATCTTTGACAATTTATTCAATGTTTATCTATTATTTTTCGAATTTATGTTCAAATGGGATATTTCGTATGAAATACTGAAATTTAATTTCAATACTAAAATAATAAAATTCAATTGTTGCACTGTATGTATAATATATTTACCGTCAAGACTATTGTTATCAATATCTAATTATAAATAATGTAAATAACGTGGTATAATATAATAATAATATAAATAGTACGATAATATAACTGATAATATCTATTATAAACAATACAGTGAAAATCAGGTTTTTTGAATTTGCGTCATTTTCAATAGTTGCAATAACTATCAATTTCATGGTGGCTACATCCTCTCTGTAAAACATAAAAATTAACACTTTTACGACGGGCTCTTTTTCTATACTTGACTTTGGTTAACAAAAATATTAATTTGAGTGAATAAATAAAAATATCTACCAACTAACTTGGAACAGCCGTATCAAAAAAAAAAAAAAAATCATTCAAATTCAAATGATAATTAAAATAAATACATTTATAGGATTACGTTTAA